ATTGTATAATCAGTAAAGCAATAGCTTTAAAACAAAAACTACAATTAAACGCTTCTAATATAAAAGTAATAGGCATATTTTTTAATCCAAACATTACATCATCCTGTTATTTTCCCTCGATAGTGTATCTTATCGTGTAGTCTGTCTACGGTATCATTAATTGTAAATTGAGTCAATAATTTCTTTGTATTTATTTTCAACAATGATACGGCCGTTATTTCACTACGCTCACAATATTTGCTGTACTCATATTCATAGTCTTGATAATATTTACTTATTTATAAAAGAAAATACAGATGGCATTCCGCCATTGTTTTTATGTATAGTTATGTTGCTCGGTCGTTTACCCCTTCGGACAATCCTCACACTATATGAGCTGATGTTTACTAATGACGATACCTAAGTACGTGTGTCGCCTGGACAGTCACTGCTACCATCAGTAGACTGGACAATCTCCTTACATGAGTTGATGTTTACATGTGAACATTAGCTCATGACGATACCTAAGTACGTGTGTCGCCTGGACAGTCACCGCTACCATCAGCTGACTGGACAATCTTTACATGAGCTGATGTTTATAGATCTGACGTTTATACAACTGGCGAAGTGTGTGCTATATTCATACTCGTCCCTGCGACAAATCAAAGGTCTGACTAAAAAAGAGAAAAATAATATAAAAAGAGTTACCGTGGCGTTTCTTGCTCGTTCTTCTCCATCGGAATCTACACTTTGGAACGAGCAAATAGCTTCACTAAGAGGACCGGCCGACAGACTGACACTTTATATCATCTTGAAAATTTTGTTTGACGTTCAAAAGTGCCTTTTTGTGTTTAATTGAAATAAATGATATTGACTTTTTTGACTATTTCGATGTTTTGAGCAGCGAAAATCAAATTTCTTCACTCGCCCAGGATATGGCGAGATATATTGAGGGAGTGTTAGACTCTTGGCAAAAAAGGCCCTGTTCCGTCTCCTACTTCATTCCCGCTGTACCCAATAACCCTTGATATGTATACTTTTAGCTCCATAGCTCCTGTTCATGATCCAATAAAGGTCGAACCATTCAAGTGTTGATATGGCATCAAATAGCTTACCAACATTAAGTGATATGACGCCTCATCCGCGCCAAGTGGAATTGTGTGGGCGTAACTTGAATATGGACCGTTTGTTATTATAATTATATCGTTTTCCGAGAGCTCATTGGCGTTAGTTGTGTGTAATTGATTATGTATAGAGTTTGAAAGTTGGCAAACGAGCAGACGGATTATTTGTGGCAAGCAATCAGCGTCGTCCATGGCTTCCCGCAGCAACTGAGGAGTTACAAGTGTGCCTGCCTACCTCTTATTGGTTATTAGGGATTAAGGACAGGGGATTTGAGGATTATGGATAGGGGGACAGGGGAATTGGACCTCCGGAATCTCACTTACACGGTGCAACACAACGCTCTGGTTCTTCGTTGTTTCTAGCTGATTTTCGGATTTTCTGTGAAATCAATCCGGTCGAGCCGACCCGTTCGTGCCGAAACAAGGTACACCCACACTTAAATAATATGATTTAAGACAGCAATAGTATTGAATATTTTTTTGTGGCAAGCCCGCGATAACGTCCCTAAACCGCTGCAACTCCTGTGCACTAGATTCTACAGTAGATACAACCATAAAAGCACCAGAACACTGAAGTCCGGCGCGTCCCAGGGGCATGAATCAATGTCTTGGAACTCGTAACGAAATAAATAAGAATATTTACATAAAATAAACCTCCCTATTTAATCAGTCAAAAACCGCATCAAAATCCGTTGCGTAGTTTTCAAGATTTAAGCATAGATAGAGATATAGGGCTGTCCCTATATTACAGAGAAAGCGACTTTGTTCTACATTATGCACCTAGTGATTGGCAGTGCGCAGTTTCAATTTGTATCGCTGATTATAATTCGCTGGAATAAAACCGCTTGGTAACTTTCCGCTGTGCGAACAGGGTTCGGAGGTTAAGGCCCGCTTCTCATGCATGAGAGTTCAAAACCTGGCCAGTACCAATGTGACTTTTTCCGAGTTATATGTACTTTTGAAGTGTATTTAGACACCACGGACATACGGTAAAGGAAAAAATCGTGAGGAAACCTGGTCCAATAATTTCTAATTATAAGTTTGATATCGCCAATCCGCCTTGAGCAAGCGTAGTGATTAATGCTTAAATCGAAGACGTGAGAGGAGGCCTTTGCTCAGCAGTAAGTACTTATAGGGTGTTAATGGACAGGGTGTTACTCACTATTTAACTATCATTAAAGCAAATCCAAAGGTATGTATGGCACTAAATTGTAATTTAGTTCTGCAATCAGCATTTACAATTTCCTCTTTAAGAGACCTTCTCGACAATTGGTATTGTTGGTTGATTACATTAATTAGTTTCGTTGGAGGAAGTCGCGGTTGGCGAAGTGTAGCGATAAGCATTAGTGGGTTAAGGTCAAGTTGAAAGTAACAGTTTATGTTCTTTTCGTCGCTATGACTTAGAGAAATGTCCTTATCTAGTATCCATATGTTCGGCCCATTTTTTGGCAGTGTCTTACTAGAATTTTCGTCGGTGCACTTTTAATCATATGCTTATGACAAGCTACTTATAACGTTCTCCGTTCTCTCGTCCGTCTTCTCCGTGTAAGATGGTTTGCCATGATCCTAATATTTAGGTCTTTGCATCCTATCCTATTACCATCAGACCCGTCAGTGCCACAGTGTATATTACATAGCTGGAGGTAATTTTTTTAAGACGGATAAAATATGCAATTTCTATCTGTCAGACTCTTACTGATTAGAAACTACCCCTTTGTGCTCCTGCTCCAGACCCCTGTACATTGCTACCCTACATGTTGTCGACATAAGGTAGGGTTGCCCTGCAAGTAATTTAACTTATGTCGACAACATGGAGTGAACTCTATGATTTTATAAAGTGTGGCACAGCCATGCTTCAGAGACTAGGTCTGCTCGACCGGAATGATACCACCGGCGTTAAACAAGCTCAGTTTTATGCCGTGTGTTTGAGGTTACCGGAGTGTCTATGCTTCCTTTCCCTCAATCCCAAAATCTCCAAAACCGTAATCCCATAAAGGTCGACAAATCGGCTCGACCGGTGTGATACTGCGGTCTCACAGAAAATCGCCATGAAACAACGTCAGTTTTTACCGTATGTTTGAAGTTACCGGAGCTCCTATCTTTCCCCTAATAAAACCCTCTATCCCCATAAGGCCCGCAACGCACTTGTAACTCCTCTGGTGTAGCGGGTGTCTATTCGGCGTCGTCAATTGCTTCAGCAGGTAAACCGCATCCTCGATAGCCGGCGTATCGCATCATTTTTTCTGTCACACATTTTACATTTATTCTCCGATCTCGTTCGTTGGTAATTGATTAGGTACTTAGCCGTGTAAAATTGATTATAAATTTTACACAGTAGGTATAATTCATGGAATATTTGTTTTATTAGTTTCTGTTATCTTAAAATCTTGGTATACTAAGAGTATCTGCATGATTAGACTTCTTGCCAGCTTACAATTATGTCTAGCGATAAACAAAAGAACAATAATGTTAATTAGTTATTGTTTTACGCCAGTTTTAGTAATAATTTAAACTTTAGGTTGAGTCTATAGGGCTGATGTTCAGCCGGGGTTGCGGGGTAAGCGCAATGAGGCACCGCGACCTCGGCCCAGAGCAGGAGAAAAAACGGGGGTGTCTTTAGTCAGTAAGAGTCTGACACTTCCTTCCGCCCTACCCTGGGCAGGAGAAGTCATTTGATGATTTTCCCCTCACAAAAAAGGTTAAGTACCTAATAACGTTATGTTAGGTTAAGTACTTTCTATGATTATTTAAACGCCACTGACACACGGTGAAGGTAAACATTGTGAGGTAACCTAGACTTATAATTTCTAATAATTATAAGTTTGATATCCAACCCGCATTGAGTAAGCGTGGTGATTAATGCTCTAACCTTCTCCGTATGAGAAGCAAATAAGAAAGAAAGAAAGAAAACACATTTATTCGACAAATAGGCACCCAAATACAAGTACATAAAAAGAATACAGAAGAGGCCTTTGCTCAGCAGTGGGCACTTATAGGCTGATGATGATGATGATGATGAATAATTAAAAATGTAGTAGTAGACTTCTATTAAAAATGTAGAAGTACTTTTATTCTTTTGTGGGGAGGAATACGGTTGTTTCCAACTAGTCAAATTCAATACTTTTATCCAAATGTCAAAAACGATACTTTTCTATGAAAATTGTATGAAACATTGAATTATGACGTCATAGCATTTTTGCGTCAAATAGCTTACTTATTTTTAAAAAATTAGCTAAGAAATATCTAAAACTTAGTGTATCGATCGATCGATGAATAAAAGTATAGTTATTTTTCAATATTTTATTATATTAAAACGTCGAATTAATTTATTTTTGACCTAGGAAACTACCCAATTTCTCCTGTGTCGTGGGTGCGTTTACAAACATATAATTTCACATGCACATGACACCAAGACTCGTAAAAATTACGTGTTATTTGCCAAGACCCTCCTACCTCCAACGTAAGATTAGATGAGATATATGATTCGGCCCCCTCCCCCTCTTAAACATATAGCGTATTTTATGAACGCCCCCTAATTTTTGTTTATACGTAACTAGCGACCCGCTCCGGCTTCGCACGGATGCAACGCTAATACTAAATTCCTCCACTATTTAATGTATGTCATTATACATATAAACCTTCCTCTTTAATTACTCTTATTATTATAAAAAACCGCATCAAAATTCGTTGCGTAGTTTTAAAGATTTAAGCGTACATAGGGATATAGGGACAGAGAAAGCGACTTTGTTTCATACTATGTAGTGATACTAGTCTGGATTTTAATCCTAATTAAACTGTTTGTTTTAATAAATAATTATTTATCTACGTCTGGTCTTTAAAATACATATTTATGAACTATAAACATATGCTTAATAATATATGTTTCTATTGTTACAGATTCAAGCCAGCCAATCAAACAAGACTGACATCTACATAGTATTATGTAGCAACATATATTTTAACTTAGATATATTACATTCCAATGTATCAAAACTTTATATTATGAGATCTGGCCAAAGTTTTTTAAATTAACGACTTAAAAAATCAAAATGTCGACTCCTGTCAAGTCGGTTTTGGAAGAGAACGAAGGAGACGAAGCGAAAGAGAAGCTTCTAGAAGGCAATCAAGTGTTGGTCGTGCCAGCGGCCGCGCAAAATCAAGATGGCGGATTGGCAGCTGTCAAATCGTCGAAGAAAGGTGAATTTTTTATAAATAGAACCTCTTTTTTTTTGTGTAACTCCAAACAAAGCATAATTATGTTATTTCAAGTAGGTATGTGTTTATTTTTTACCCGACTGCCAAAGAAGGAGGGTAATGTTTTTCGAGTGTATGTAAGTATGTATGTATGTCTTTTCCTTTGTGACCTCCTGTAGTCTAAACGGCTTGATGGATTTTGATGTATGAGGTATCGTTAGATTTGTCTTGATTACGGGAGTGTCATAGGATACATTTTATCCTTAAAGTCCCACGGGATAAATAAAAACAGCTAAAAAGTTATAAATAAAAAAAATATTATTAAAAAAACAAAATACCCGACTGCACACTAAAAAAAGAGTAAAACAAGCCCCACAATACAAATTTACTGAATATAATTTATAAATGTTGATAGAAAGCATCGCAGGCGGGGACCACCTTGACCGCCACCAACGAAAATTCTGCTAAATGGTGCACAACAGAAATGACTATAAATAAGCCTCTGTTGGTCCCCGCCTGCGATGCTTTCCATCAACATTTATAAATTATATTCAGTAAATTTGTATTGTGGGGCTTGTTTTACTCTTTTTTTAGTGTGCAGTCGGGTATTTTGTTTTTTTAATTCTAATTCATTGATAAGAAAAGCACATGATATGGACTTCTTATGCATAAAAAAGTTTTCTATAATCTCTGCGGTTGGAGGGCAGATTGGAGTTTAAAAGTTATAGTTATTTGTAAAATCTTTCTTAAAATAAATCTGGTTTCGGTTTTCTTTAAATAAACGATGCACTGGGATTAATGCAGTCATCGTGGGCGCATTTACAAACATACGATTTCACATATACAATACACCCACAGACATTTTTTTGTCGGGGAACGGGGAGGGTTATGTGGGACTCCCCGGTTAAAGACGTTCCCGGTATACCCACTAAAAAAACCAGTGGAACTCCGGCCTCGCCTGAGTGGAGGGGTCTGGAAATCTATGTCGTCCAGCCCCCCCACCGGCGACTGCCGATGCGGAATCACACCCACAGACCTGAAACAACAATTGGGTAGTTACGAGTACCTACGTCAAAAATTTATTATTTTGACTTTTCAATACACTGAATTGTTAAAATACTTATTTATTTATTTATTTATTTATCAAAACTTATTCTATCTTTACAGGGTTTTCCCTAATGCGACAGATAAGACCTTAAACTAAACTTAGACTAAAATAAACTTTATACCAAACTATTGAAACAAACTTACTTATAATCATACTTTAATTCATTGTGTTTAATATGGGTAGAATGAAAATCTGACTCCAATTAAAAAGTGATGTTGTATTCAGAGTTGCGGTTATAATATTGAATTTTGACTTGAATTGCGATATAACAAAATATACGTGCGTCTACCGAGCGGTTGGTTTTGAGAAAAATGAAGTTGTTGCGCCTTATATTCGCAGCGCGTATCCAGTGTTGCCAGCTTTGCCGCGATACATTGATTTGACGATATGCTTAATTTTCGATTTTTTCTAATTATTAAAAAAAATAAGTAGTATATTGTTTGACGTAAAAACATTATGACGTCATATGTCGCGATCTCATAGAAAAGTATCGTTTTTGACATTTCGATAAGAGTATCGAATTTGACTCATTGGACACTACCGTATTTTGTTGTTACGCGGCAGATGGTAGCCCTGCCGCCACAACAACTGTTCATTCGCATTAGAAATATGTGTTTTTGTCTCTTACGATGACCACAGAAAAAGTTTAAACAATAAAATGCATTCGTCTTTATTACCATACTGTTCCAGCTTTTTGAAATAAATTTTACTAGCTTCCGTCCGCGACTTTGCCCGCGTGGTATGTTGATAAAAAGCCTATGTCCTATTCCGGAATGTGGCCTATTCCATTCAGCCGTTTTGGCGTGATTGAGTAACAAACATTCAAACATTCGCATTATAATAGTAGTCAGAGGTAAGATAAATAAGTAATTTCTTTGTTAATACCGATTTACTTTTCATTTCAACTCAGCTGTTTTTACAAAAAATTACACGTACTCATATTATTGTGCCGCGATTCCATGATTCATCTTTAGGAGAATACAAACTGCATGTGATTTATAAACGTTTACTCATACTGTTTGAATGATTAAATGGAACTAAACATGGTAATGATAAAAGGATACCTTTATACTGCAAAGTGAAATGAACTTTAAAGAGACCACTACATTTGGGGCCCAATAGGGCTTAGTCGGGGTAGCGTGGACGAGAGATGATCTCCGGCCACCGTAAGCGCAGGACTGCGGACGGCGAGTAAGGGTAGGTCGCCGCTCGACCAGAACCAGACCCGAGCGTACGGCGCGTAGCGTCCCGCGCGCCTCAAAGAGCCAATAGACCACCACAGACGGGGCCCTATAGGGCTGATGTTCAGCCGGGGTTGCGGGGTAAGCGCAATGAGGCACCGCGACCTCGGCCCAGAGCAGGAGCAGAAACGGGGGAGTTTTTAGTCGGTAAAAGTCTGACGCTCCTTCTCGCCATACCCGAAGCGAGGGAAGTCATTTGATGATTTTCCCCTGACAAAAAAAGGGTTTGGTAGATTAAACAAAGGCAAAATTGCGAATAGTCTCCATGTTTTCCAAATCAGTAATAAAGTGCTGGAGATCTATGTTTCAGTACAAATGTACCGGTTTTTATTAAAGTAATAACTACACAGTAACCCGACCTTACAGGTAAACGGCGTGAATGAAACACAGCGGGGTGTGACATTTTCTCTAGCCTCATCTAGGGCGAATTATCCCTGATCCCCAAAGAGGCGGCAATAAACTCGTAACTCCTCTTCTTAACTTGTGTTGCGGGTGTCCATGGGCGGTGCCGATTGCCTACCATCAGGTAATCCGTCTGCTCGTTTGCCATGTTATCACGTAAAAACCTTCAATCAAAATTCTCAGAAAAGTCGGGTAGACGTTTTTTTTCGAATGACATTTCTATGCGTTCATTCATAATATTATAATCGGACGGTAGTTACTTCTTACTCGTCCACGCTCTCTCGTAAGTTGGTTCTGTAGGTTCAGTAGTGTCTTCTGTGTTTAAAAGTGTCCATAAAATGGTGAAACATCGGTACAAAAAGTTAAAAGGTACGTAATATTTATCAAATAAGCAATTCTACATCAATTTTAAGCCAAAATGTCCAAGTTTAGGAATCACTGACATAGTTACGGTGAACGATTTATAATTTCTAATTCACATCATCAGCCAATAAGTGTCCACTGCTGAGCAAAGGCCTCTTCTCAATCGGCTTACTCAAGCCGGATTGGCGATTTCAAACTTATAATTAGAAATTAGATTAATTAACCTATAAATACGGTAAAGGAAAACATCGTGAGGAATTCCTTGATTTATAATTTCTAACTAAAAGTTTGGGATCGCCAATCCGGCTTGAGCAAGCGTGGTGATTAATGCTCAAAACCTCTCCGTGTTAGAAAAGGTTTTTGCTCAAAAGTGCCGATAATGATGATGATGATTAAAATTTTTAGATGAAGATGTATGTATGTTTCCTGTATCACGCAACGGCTATAGGGATTTGAATAAAATTTGGCTCAAAGATAGATTATAGTTTGAAATAACACGTGCCTACGCTTTGTAAGTCGCTCGGGTTTACGAGTGCAACCTCAATTATGACTCGTTCTCACTCGACTCAAGGCGGGAGAAGTCATTGGAAGACTTTTCCCTACCAAAAAAGGGGAGCTTCTGTGACAGATGCTGGCATACAATGATATTATAAGTAAAAAGGTGTAGATAGGTTACAAGGGGCAAGTGATACATTAAAATGTGGCTACCGAGATAGGTTATAGGCGAATATCACACTAAGATTCTTAAGAACCGAGCAGCGAGTGAAACCGCTGGAAATGCTTGTTTTTATTAATATATGAGAAATCTAAATGAATTTGACACCTGTCTGTGTGTTTTTGAAAGTCAGACGCTTCAAGTTTCAACCGAGCGAAAACGGACAAAGTGTGCAAGTAATTTTTTTTTATATCATAGTTCGACAAACAAGTGGTCATATCCCTGTACCTTCCCTCATACATAATCCCTGTGGTATTGCGGGTGTCCTTGGCGGCGCCTGTTGCTAAGGTACCTACCATCAGGTAATAGGTACGTGTGCTAATTTGCCGACCTATTCCAATACAAGAATTATAAATTTAAAGTTTAAAAAATCCCCAGACAAAAAATCTAATATTCCTTTTGTCGGGGGTCTAATTAATTTTTTATTTTATACTTTTTATAGGTATTTTATATCATTTTCTCTCGATTAAGTCATCAACATTCCCTTTCAGTGCGCTTTCATTTGAGACCCACCTGAGTATATTTGCAGACCTTCGGTTATCCTTCCCCCCTAACTTCTAAACGGCTCAATCGATTTTCGTCAAACATATCTAAGAACATTCGCACGTAAGTCACCTTTAATACAAAAAAAACTAAATTGAAATCGCTTCACCCGTTAAAGCTCCAGGATGCCACAGACAGACAGACAGACACGTCAAACTTATAACACCCCTCTTTTTGCGTCGGGGGTGTAAAAAAAAAACTGCGCATCCAGGCTGCAACCTTCATCAAACACGACTGACATACTTTCATGCACATCGATTAAAAAAAAACTTTGTTATTTAGTTATTTCTTAGTTCAGGAGATTCAAATAGTATTCATGAAATTGCTGTCACTTAAAATTCGACCTTGGTCAGTAGAAAACAACGTTTATATTTGTCTACGAACAGCAATAAAGATTTTATCTAAGCACCGAGTATATTGAGTTCATAACACTTAACTAATCGGGCGATAATTTGACAAATAACTGTCTAAACAATAATTAAACTGAACCACTGGAAAATCGACCTTATTTCCTTCTTCATACAGCTCTATATGTGCAAACAATACTGCTATACTATTGGAAATTCAACCCTACAGTCGTGAAAATAAAGTTGATTATTAAAAAAAAGTGTGTAGAAACGCTCCCGTCTCA